CGCCGAAGCAAATTCACTAACAAACTTGTACATTAGTTGTTCAGATTTCACTGACATACCTTTGTATAAAGGTCTCTGCAACCAGGGTGGCTTGATATTTGGAATTAATTAAGGAATGTAAAACTTTATAGTTTATTGTACCTTGGCAGGTATATTTATGTTGTATTTATAACTTTTTTATAGAATAAATGTTACAAACAAGAGGACAGTCCACCTGATTGTAAATGGATGCTGTGACTTATAAAAATCTTTACCTTGGAGACTTTACCTTGAGGACTCTTTTTTTCCTCAGTTTTTTTTACACATGTTAACGATACCAAACACAGGAGCATCTGGTATTTTACGCCGGTATTCTGTAAAAGGAGCACTCTGTCACTCTTGCAACATGCGTGAAATAATTACCTATAACTGCGAGACACCCAGGGTATACACAGTTGGGGCTAGCGCGTTGTAGGCAATTGAATGTTAAAGTTTTTTAACGCTGTTTATGTAAATAGTTTTTTGTGAAACCTTATTGAAATAGATTTTGCTTAGTTTTTAGTCTATTTAATTGTAGGATAAAAAAGGTGAAAAAGTTTTAATGTAATTTAAAATTATATATATTGTGTATAATAAATGAGGAGAAGCCTGTGCCCAGCAGTGGGACGTGTATATAGGCTGTAACTTTACTATTGTGTATATTACCTATTAGATCAATTGTAATGGCTAAAAGTCGTTCCTACAAAAACTGCTGCATGGATAGATGCTAAATGACCAACAAAAGTTTTCAAATACATATATCATTCTATAAGTTACCGAAGGATTTTAGTAGGATGTTATGAAAGGTGAATTTATTTCATTTTTGGGTACTTATAACAAAAAAGAATTAAGTAATAATTTATCTACAGAAGCAGTACCTACGTAATTTATTACAAAAATTAGTTGTAATTTACTTCGCTATCCAATAATATACTTACGTACCTATACTTGTATTTTGTAATAAACATAAATTTTAAGTTATGATAACACAAAATACTGATATTAAACTTTTGTTTACTAACGAGTTTTTTAACGAAGTAGAATACGATCACATTTCTGTTAGGAACTGTATTACAGGTTTATTTGTTATTTCTTCCGAGCTAAGCATCGCGATTCCCCACTAATGGTCTTGCAAGTTGCATGCGTTGGGCATCGCAGAATTCACATAAATGCGAAAATGTGGTCAGTCGATCATAGTCAGAATAGGTACCTCACCTAAGTAACTTAATTAACATTTCGCAATTCGTAGGTAGGCTATTAAACGTCGACAAGCAGTCAACATCAAAGGAGTGCTCTGTACGTACGTAGTACTATTACTTATTCTGTGGTAAAAGCATGGTCCTTCCCGGTCGAGCCGACTTATTCTTGTTACTACCATAATATAGCGTTACTACCACGTTTATCATCCCCTCTGACTCATTCGTTTTAACCAGAGCGATAGGACTGCCTGTTATATGACTTGGTTTACAATAAAGAATATATAGATCACTGATTAAAAACCGTTTAACCGATTAAACTGTAAAAAAAGTTTACAATTTTAGGTATAAAAGCTTTCGGCCTCTATTATTTTTAATTCTTTAACTATTCTTTAACTCTTTATTCGCTTAGGGTTGGAGTATACAAAACCTGTAATGGCATTGTATAAATAAGTTTATAATAGTGTAATCAAATATATAAATAAAACATTGCAAAATTGCACAACCTTGTCAAAAAATTTCATCGTTATATCGAGGTCCTCCTTGAGGTGGATATTCCAAAAATCCTAAACCAGGTAGCCTCACATCGAAACGCTTATCCGTTGCTCAACCAAGTCTAATACTAAATAAAAGCAGTTTTAATACCATATTATAATAAATACTAAAAACAATACCATAACTTTCATATAATAGCTTCTAAGTCGGGGCTTATATGTCGAAGAATTAGAGTTACTTTTTAGTTACTCAAAGTCAGTTTTATTTATTACAAACCACTCGCCACTGCTCCGCCTGGATAAGATCTATTAACATAGAATTATTTAGATTTAAATAATACTAGTTTTTTCACAGATTATATCAAGGATCCCGTGACCATGTGTGCTGTAAAGTGCTCGAAACGTCGGGTATATAAAAAAGTTAACATACGCGATATAATCCGTAAAAGTAAGTATTATTATATCCGTAGTAGTAAGTATTATTTAAAAGCGTAGTGTTCGCGTAAATGATATTCTTTTAAATTAAAAAAAATGGTTCAGCCATTTTGAAGTTTTGCCCGGACAGACAGATACACAAACAGACGAACATTTAAAAAACTTTTTTTTATGTTTTAAAATCACGTAAATAATTATGATTTCTTATATTTACGCAAACACTACACATTGATTAAAACTACTTTTACGGATTTTATCGCGTTTAATTTGAATTTGAATATTTTTTTTAATTCCCGACGTTTCGGGTGCTTTCCAGCACCCATGGTCACGGGGGACTAAGGTAACTGACGTTCCGATGTCATTGTTAAACCCGGAGTACCTTCAGCTTTTTAATTATTGTTTATGGTCCGATCTATGCAAAATGCAAATATTAATTTATTGTGTAATGAAATGAGTTTCTTTGACGTAAGAAAATAAAATTTCGTTTATCAAATGTAATTTTTTGCATCTACTGTTTCAAAATGAGATTCCACTGACTGGAGAAGAAATGCCGAAATAAACTTCGGTGATATCCGATTTTTTGTAATTTTTTTTTAAATTAAATATCTTATTAGCATTTTATAATTAATATATAAGTTGGATAGAATACAATAAACTCATCGATAACTGGAATATATTCTATAATAAACTCAAAAAAAAAATATTTGAAGCTCATCATTGCTAAACTGAGTAAACCAGCCTCTACTAGCAGCACCTGTTCACAACTATGGCGCACGTCGATCAAATTTATTTTGTTTATAGTACGTCTGTTAATATTTCTATATTGCATCTGTAGTGCATACTTTATCTGATGAGTTGCTTCTCATTTATCAACGTTTTGAGGTGGTAGAATTAAACTGTAGCGTATTATGCCTGCAACGCAAATGGGTTGGCTTGACCACAGAAATACAGCGTGAAATAGCTGCATAATTTTATTGTGTTTCATACGGTTTAGATAAGATTATGATAGATTATGATTCCAGTTCTAAGTTTATATTAATTACTTACCTTATTTGGTAGATGATAACCATGATATAGTTTTATTTATTGATGATACTTACTTAGTAGATTTTCAGACTTAAAAGGTAATTATAAAATTTGATGAAGTGAATAATGCTATATTGAAATTAGTACACTAGTTGAACGTTAACGTAACGATGCTTTTATACGAATACAGTAAACGATAATAAAATATAATGTATTAATATTGCAACACCAAAAGTTAAACCAGTGTTTTTAAGTGAAGAGGGCAGAGTATTGTTGAATCCACAGTTTTTCTCGGAACTATAGTTGAAGCGATGCTTAGTTCTGCAGCATTTGCTATAATTTTTTAGAGTAGTTATTTAAATATGTATAAAATGACTACTCTCTTTAATATTAGTTTATTTTAGTTTTTTTTTATAGAATAATGTCATATGGAATTTTGCTATGGGGTAATGCTGACATTAAAACTTTTTTGATATTGGCTTTATAACCTGGGTCCGAAGGAGTTCCTTGGAGAAAATTTTAAAGAAATTAATTTAATAACTTTAACCTCTCAGTATATTTACGAAGATTTAATGTATGTACACAAAATCAATAATAGTTTTATTAAAAATAATGTACATTATGTAAATACTATGAACAGGTATAAGCTAGTTATACAGGTTTCTGTACTACGAACATCAGTAATTTCTTCATGGGGCAACGTATACGCTTTTACAACAAAGTCTCAGAAACTATGCAGGACATTTCTAACAAAAAGTTTATTTTTTTTATAAAAAGTACATCATTTATAATGATCCCTGAGAATGAGGCGATCGCTACTATAATCTTTTTTTTTCTAAATATTTTCATACTAATTGTATAAAATATTACATTGTAAACTAATGTTTAAAAAAGTCCCACTGAGTTTCTGGCCGGTTGTTCCTAGGACGGATGTTTTTTTCCTAACCTGTGGTAAAACTTAAATGACTTCCAATAATTATTCATGCTGACGGTTGTAGCATCAGACTTCTTGTACCTTTGACTGCTGCTGCCCGTATCTTATATATGGCATGAACAAATTTGTTCGTGTTTGACGAAACCCACGGCACATAAAGATAACATTAGGGTTGATTTACACACAGTAACCGGCTCGAAATTTCAGTCAAGCCGGTGCCGACCCGATACTGACATAGTGTAATGTGATGTGGAGTCAGTACAGCACTGTCGCGACATTGCTAACTTCAATATTCCTGCTTGTATATTTTGAAATTGATGCACTCCCTGCGTCACCTGCGCCAGCGGTGTTGACATTGTCTAAACGAACAAGTCAGTACTTGGTTTGGTTAGTCGCTGGGGCCGCATTGTAGGGTGACATCACGTCTTATCATAAATTCAAGCAATAATGACGCGAAATTTCAGTCAAGTCGGTGCCGACCCGATACTGACATAGTGTAATGTGATGTGGAGTCAGTACAGCACTGTCGCGACATTGCTAACTTCAATATTCCTGCTTGTATATTTTGAAATCGGTGCACTCCCTGCGTCACCTGCGCCAGCGGTGTTGACATTGTCTAAACGAACAAGTCAGTACTTGGTTTGGTTAGTCGCCGGGGCCGCATTGTAGGGTGACATCACGTCTTATCATAAATTCAAGCAATAATGACGCGAAAATTAAATGACAACGAAAACTTAAGATTGCTACAGTTGTATGGCGACAATGAATGCGATATTAAATTCCAAAATTACTGTAATAAGGAATACGAGCAAAAACATTGTAAAATATTTCTTTGTAAATCAGCCTTTATATTACCCTATGCACTTTTTTTAACTAATCTTGACGTATCCTTTACAGTGTTTGGTGACGCAATCAATTCAGAGCAACAGTTCAAAGAGAATTCAGCTCGAGCACTCCTGGGACTTCTGAAGGGGTTCATTCTTACCACTACGTACAAAGGCTTGGTAGTAGTTGTCTCAGAAAATGTTCAACAGTATCTTGGATATACTGAGGTAAGTAATATTTCTTATCTCATCGACGTCGTGTTAGGGTTTATTTTTACTCTGAGATATCTTCAAAGATCTTAGTCTAAAAAGCATGGCTTTGGCTTTTTACACGACGAGATTGCACTGATTAGGTATGCTATCTACAAATTTGACAGACAACCTTTTTTTAATATAAGAGAGAGAACCAAAGATAAGAGAGCTCAGAACAATTTTTTTTATTTTTTTTATGTGAGTTGTATAAATAAAATCCTAAAAATTTTATTAGAATTAGTATGGTTACTAAATTACGCTTCTTTAAATTAAAAGAACTTACTTTAAATGACGAGTTTCCGCTTTTGCCTCCGCGTCGCGTTTACTTCATACTTCAGTCTACTTCCTTCGCCGCGCAACGCGCCGTGCACTCAGCAAGAGGCGACAAGAAATAAAATAATAAATAAGTGGGTACAAAAGAAAATTTGTTGTTAGTCTTTATCTAAAAGTTAAGTAATTACACTGTCTTTAAAAGTTATATACTAATATTTTGTCTCGTAACAATTTTATACATTCACGAAATAAAGCAACTGAGACACATATTCGTTAGATTTGCCTTACTTGTAGAAGTGACATATAATATTCGATATTTTTCTTTTCAGTAAACTTTTTTAGTCTTGTTATTTATTACTGTTTTAACCATAGAATACTATAATATATACATAATAGAACGGGGGAGTGCGCGGAGCCCGTGTAGCCACTTAAATGTCACTAACACGTCAATTCACACGTATAAATGTCAACAAGAGATGTGTTTTGATGTTATAATCGTTTCCAAATTTCCCATGCAAATTATTTAGAAAATGCCAAATTGCACGCTATTTACAAATAAATATGTATTGAAAAATTGACAGACATCAACCGGGTTTGTAGTAGTGATAATACGACGTTATTGCTTGTATGTGTGCTCCCGGCGACGCCTATCGGTGTACAAAATAAGGTTGACAGCCATTATATTGTGTATATAGTATTTTATGGTTTTAACCATTGAACTTATATATGGAACTTTTGTGTAACAACTTGTTTGATGTTGATTTTTGATTACTTTTTTTACACACAAAATATTTTATCAAATAATAAAATTCCCCCTCTCTCCAACTACGTTCACATTATAATTGTTCCTTCGCGCCGCCATCATACTATTTTCTCCGTTACTCCTGTCGGTGTTTTAACTAAACAAAAGGAAACTAATACTAAAAGGAACTACGCCTACCTTGTTACTGTGTAACAAGGTACGTGTACCGTGTGCTGGAACGGTACACTGACTGATCGGCTAGGTTGAGTGAAATTCGTATATTTCAAAAATAATAATTAGAATGGTACTTATAATATAGCCACGTTCCTAGCTTAGGTAAGGAAGGTAATAAAAATCGACTATTGAAATTAAACCTAATTCTAAATCTAAAATGCATATTTAAAGTCACGTTATAAGTCGTTCTAATGTTCCAAGTTAATTTTTCACTGCGACTTTTTTCTAACCGGAACGACGGTCACGTTTATTTGAAAATAACAAGTCCAAGTTCCCCAAGTCTTCGCCTCTTACGAGTCTCATGGGATGATAACATGGATATTCATAGGCTACTACTACACGGTAATTGATAACTTATCAAAACATTTTATTTATCGCCAATGTCTTGCAGTCGTCGTTTCTCTAGCGCTCACTTGACCTTCATACAAACAATTCCATATTTTAATTGTTGATAATTGTTTATTTTTGAATAAGAAAATAGTAATGACTCTATTTATTTATTAAAATGTTACACTAATACATATACTTAATTCTAAGAAGGTAATATAAACTAAGTGCTCATTCAATAATGGGTAAACACCGTGTGTTTAGTGCTCTAAGTTATATTTATTATAATTTTTATAGGAGGGTGTAAGCGGTAAATATAAATTTTTAAGGCAGTAAAAATAATTATCTAGTAGAATTATAATTAGAACTTCAAATCTGAATCGTGAACAGCACCACCCACCATTACAAACCGCAATATTTTTGCTTAAACATTTGGCTAAGCAATGGCTAGATCTCTTCCTTAAGCTTACTGATTCGCTTTAGCGATTTGCATGGGCATTACAAGTATTTAAACATTTATATATTTTCAAAGGCTATTTTGTTTATTAATACGTATATTAATTGGAAGTTTTGTAATGGATTCGATTTTTAAAACTTCAAATCACAAATCACTTTGTTTGTATTACTTTTCAAATATGATGGTATGCGTGCATGCGCACATTTTTCCACCCACACATACATCACAGCCTATAAAAGTACACTGCTAAATATAGGCATCCCTCATAGATTTTTAAGCTATTGTGATAGAAAGAAAACGCCAATATTTATTTATTTAACGTTACATTTTAATAATTTTGTGTCATTTCAATATTAATATTCATTGATGTTCATAAAAACATCTTACGCCTGTAGATGCTGCAATTAGGTATCGTTCGATTTAAATAAAACAAGTAGAAAGAACTTGACGGAAAAATATTCTGGTTTAACAATATACATACAAAGGAAGTAGATCACTGCCGGATAAGTCGGACTGGTGGTTAAATTTGCTGTCGTAAAAAAATTAACATAATTCAATCTCTATTTGAGTGTAAATAAAAAAGAAAATTGCCAACGTTTGCACAATAATTTATTTAAAGAAACTACCTTTTGTTTTGAATTTTACATAATAGGATATTATGGAAAAAAAAAACAAAATGAATCCAATAGTTATTGCAATACTATAAATTTGATGTACCTATTAATTATAGCCATAGTAAGTTTTTGCTTTTATTGAATAATAGTGACAAGTTGGTAAGCCTGCGGCCATAATCCATACATCCTGCGGCTAAAGGGATCTCTTAAAGATCTAATCTATCTAATAAATATATAAATAAATCTATGTTTTAAAACCTACTTAAATTTTGTATTTATAAATTCAGTCGCTGGCTAGTCGACTTGTATATGCTCGAAACTTTGCTTGTCGAAAATGTCTCATTATTATATACGTGAATAAAAATTCAAACGGTAGGCATTATGTAGCAAATGTAAATGTCTTTGCGAATTCTTATGTATGCCATAAACTATATATAAAAAACAACGTTTACACTTACTTAGGGATGTTTTCTTGAATAATGGAGGCGTTTCACACATTTAATTGCATAGGCAAACCTTCAGACTCGTAATAACTATTGAAATTATTTACATGATTTGAACACGCAGCCAAAACTTTTATTATAAAATGTACCTAAACATTAATAATATTCACGATAAACCTGCAGAATGGTTATGCGAGCGTAACATCCTAACACCAAAAAACGAACAAGCCTCAGTCATAAATGAAATACTTTTGAGATCATTCGGAGGGGTCGAATGTCAATATAAATCCGTCAACTCATTGATAAACACCGATGATGCTATTCATTATCCGGTCGAGTTCCTGAATACACTGAACCCTTCCGGTCTCACAACTCACATATTAAAATTGCGAGTTGGCGCGCCAATTTTTTTTTTTTTTTTGCGCCCGAAGCAATTGGAAAAGGGCTACCCTTTATGTAGGGAGGCGGAAAATGCATTACGCATACCACGACAGCCGGTCTATCGTGGTTATGAGGGACTCACTGCCTACCGGGGGAACCTAAGTGATACCCTCTAAAAACCGCCTTTGGGGACTGGCAACCAGCTGTATAAGCTTCTTATGCCGTATCGGAAGCGACCCTCTTTTGGGAAAAGAGGGCGCAGGCGGCTACGAGCCGCTGAGGGAGTGCCTACGAAGGCAAATTAATTATGAATAATTTAATTAGAGTCGGCCTGAGCCGCCAGGAGGCAGTTCAGGTCGTTTGACAGTTTATTAGGCGGGTCCGAGTGAGAGTTTCTCGGCCTGCGGACTCGATAGCGAGACTCGATAGTGGGGGTGGGGCTGCATAAGTAGCTGCCTCACGAATAAGATGATTGAAGTGCGACTCTGAGGCTTTAAAGAAGTTCTCAGAGATTTTTTTAAGAAATTGTTGAATTGTAGGGAGCTCTAGGTCCCGATGAAGGTCGGCATTACGGACGTACCAAGGTGCGTTCGCAGCTCGACGACAGAAAAGGTTTTGAACTGAATAATTTTAGGGTCAGCGTGGGCAAAAATGGGGCCCGCGTAGGACATGACTGGTCGTATACAGACCTTATAAAGGGTACGCTTGTTTCTGAGGGACATTTTACTGTGTCGGCCCAACATACTGTTGAGCCTACTCAGGTAAAAACGTGCGTGACGGGTTACTCTTTTGACGTGGGGCCTGAAAGTGAGCCTTGTGTCTAGAGTGACACCTAAATATTTGGCAGACGTATGCCAGGGGACAGGGGCCCCTAGCATACGTATTGGTTGAGTGTTTTTGAGACGGCGTCGTTTATAATCGAAGTGAACGGCGTAGCTCTTCTGCGGGATCACATCGATGCGCCATTTTTTGAACCAAGCTCCTAGGTCGTCAACTGACTTTTGAACCTTGTTCCGTATGAAAGGTAGCGAGATACCTTTACAGTAGAGAGCAATGTCGTCTGCGAAGAGGGACAGCTGAACACCTTTCGACGGGATGGGAATGTCGTTGTTGAACAGGATGTACAGCAGAGGAGCAAGTACTGAGCCCTGAGGGACACCAGCTTTGATAGGGCGCTGTGAAGATAGCGTGCCTTCGAGTCTAAAACGTAAGATACGATGCTTTAGATAAGAGGCCACGAGACGTTCTAGATGATCGGGGAGGCCTATTTTGTATAACTTGTAGATAAGGCCTGTATGCCATACTCTATCAAAGGCTTTGGCTATGTCGAAAAAGACCGCGATGGTCTTATGACGACGAGGATAAAAACCGCTGAGGATATATTCCACAATACAGTGAACTTGTTGAGGACATGAGTGTTTCGATCGGAAACCGAATTGATGGAGAATGATAAGACGGTCATCGTCTGTGGGAAACAGATGGCGCCTCATGCGAGGTTGTATGAC